GTGACTTCAGTGGAAATTTCAAATTCAGGATCTGACACAGGCTGATTCATGTCCTACACAGTTCTTACAAGTTCATAGAAATTTCTGTTCAATTAGAATCAAGTATTTGAATTGATGATTGTAATTTTTATTCAATGTTGTAATTTGCGTTTCAACAATTTTTTGATTAATGTTTTGTTTCCGTTACAATAATATACTTTAATGTATAATATTGTAAAGGAAACAAAACAGGAAACAAAACATCAATCAAAAAATTGCTCTCTTTTTTATTCGGGCTACTTAAATTTATTTTGGGCTACCAAAAACCGAAGAGTCCCTGCCCGAAGGGCTACCAGGGAATTTGAAATTTTGAGAGCCCTGCTTAGCCTTGCACGCATTCTTATTTTAAACTTAATCTGGAATTCATTGCAAACTGTTTGTGCGGAATATGAATGACAAGATTTTGTTTTTCTACAAGAGTTAGTAAAAAACATCTCCAGTGTGATCAAATCTTCTTGCCAAACATCCATAGCTTGGCAGTGTATACAGCACTATAATGACCAGACCTAATTCTTTTGAAAACCATACATCTTTCCACAGGTCTCAACTTTATCAGACATCACCTAGACACAGAGCTGGATGATGCTAGGGCAAACAGCGGCCTATTCGACTAAGATGATGGACCCATGGGGTCAAAAAACCCAGAACCAGGGCTGGAGAGGTACCTTTCATGTCCATTCACTGGAGGTGTGGATCTATTGCATGGCGTCCCTCACATCAAGAAGCTGTTGACCAAAATCAATACACCTCTTCCTGCATCTGGAGCTTGTGAAGGACTTATCAGTCATGCAGGACTCCTGTTCACTGCTAAACAGTTACAGCTTCACAGAAAGAACCTTGAGAGCAAACTGCTGCTGAAGCTTAACCATCACCTTACTGAGTCAAGAAATGGCACATTTTTGCTAAATATGCAGAAATAAATGCACACCCATACAATGTATGGTAAACTGAGCTCCCTTGTATGTACATGAGGAAGATGTCTCGTTCTGTTTTCTCTGAGGCTGCTGTGCCATTTGGAACAAAAATGAATATAAAGTTTACAGCATATCTTGTCACTGGAAATTGTTTGGACTGTTTATATATTTATTTTATTTACTGTAGGTATTGGTGAAAAAAGCTTGTTGAAAATCTGAAATCTTGAAATTAGAATTGTTGTGCCTTATTTTGTTCATGTTTTTACATATATTCCGTTTGAAAATACTAAAATTTGTATATTTATTTTTTTTGGTTTGTCTGATAGCATTTATTTATAAAATAAATCAGACATTTCAAACGGTTACTCGCTACTTGAGTAGTCTTTTCACGAAGTACTTGTTTACTCTTACTCGAGTAACTTTTTTGAAGACTACTTTTCACTTTTACTTGAGTAATATTTTAAAGTAATGCTACTCTTACTTGAGTACAATTTTTGGATACTCGACCCACCTCTGCTTTTGGATCCACTTTTTTGACCATTTAAAGAAACCGAATTTTGAGGTACTGTTGAGTCCACTTCCCTTCTCAAAGGTGTCTAATTCCTACCTCTGGTATTTACCTAGTAATATTGCCATAAAACCATGGAAAGTGAGGGCTGCAGAACAGAAGCCAACTTACACGAGGAACAGGCCGGTTGTGTATTTTAGGACCCCACGGACATTACTGCCGCTCTGAGTTCGGTGACGTCAGAGCGGTCTGCCGATATTTGCGGGTTAAGAAAGATGGCGGCTGAGAAGAGCAGGTTGAAACAGCGGAGTCATAAAAGCAGCATATTTAAAGAAGGTAATTAATGCTCTGAGACTTGAAAGATTCTAGTAAGAAGAGTTTTTGTGTGGTTTTAACCGCAGTGTGTTTGTGCGCGTTTGATAGATAACAACGGTTATGAAATGACAATGCAGCGCTCCGCTTCGCCAAATATTCGCCTCAGCCGTTGTTTCGCATATTATTGCGAATTTGAGCTTCCCGCTGTGTTCGACCGATAAAATATCACTGAAAAGATTGTTTTGATAATGACACCGAGCGTGCGTTCTTTGAGCCGGGGACGACTCATTCTCGCTGTGCAGTGTGTTGTTACAATAAAGCCGGTGTGAAGCCACTCAGCTGTCCTCACCTGCAGCTGAATCTGTTTGTTTTTCCTGCTACTGCTTACCCCTTGAGCTGATGTTCCTTCTTGTAGAACATGTCATTATAACAGCCGCTAAACCGATCTGTCAATGTACAGTAAATAGAAGCCTGTATTCGTCTATTATCTAGCAACTAGCTAACTTAACTTGCTGTGTAATTTTAGCTAGGCTAATGTACGACGCACTGGATAACGAGGCGCTATAACAGCGGACACCGTTACAAATGTAATATAGCTTTATGCCTTAGGCCTTAGGGTACACACATTACAAATTAACTTCGAATTCCAACTAAAGTTAAAATTGCCAGTTGAAATGGCTTTCCTCTCTTATTAAGAAATTCATGAAATTAACATTTGTAAATGAAGATCTGAATTGAAAAATTCAGCTTTTTAATTCTCTAGTATCGACGAAACTTGTATTATTTTTGCAAGAGCTCTGATTGTGCAGCCTTGATCTCAAATGTAAGTCAACGATTTAATGGACAGAGGTCAGAAGGAATAAGCAGTGAGGTAAGTTTACCTTAATACTGGAATGCTCTACTATTTAGCTGTGGAGCTTCAAAGAATTACTTGCCAGTAGTTGTTACTTGCCAGTAGTTGTTACCTGTCACTGGAAAAAATAAAACGCATAAGCAATGCTGTCGTGGTTTTCGTGAAAGACACCCAGTATCAGGTTGGAGTAGTTCATAATAATCTGCTTACAAGGATCTCAAGGATACCAGGACAGCTGTGTTGGTTTCCCTGAGCTGGCTGTTTAGGAAATCTTGGATTTTTAAAGTTTACTAACTCCTTAGTCTGTTTGGGGAGTGTTGGTGGACTGTAATATCAAAAAGCCTTCACTGTTCTTTACCCTGTTTTTAAGCACAGAGTTTCTTATGTCATTGAAGAAGAAGCTGGAACTGTTTGCTGTTATAGATGTCATGTGATTTGTATGTATTTGTGCTGGTATGTTTATTATCTTGACAGATTCAAGTTCAGACTGAATATTGCAACAGCACTGATGCTTATAGACCTGTACTTATTAGCCTGATCCTAATGGGAATTCTTAGGGCGTGGTTATTGGTTTTGCAATTCTCTGATAAGCCCTGGGCTTCTTCATAGAAGCACTTTAAGACAGATTAGCAGAATTTTGACTGAATATAGTTTCTAATGTGTTTTAATAGCAAAGGACAGACACTGGAGAAATGTTTAAATTGGGCAACTTGCTGAAAGGGTGAATCTAAAGGGGGCGTGGCATGTAGACTGTTTATTTTCAGGGTTCCATAGCGTTATTTATTTTAGATTTAAATTTAATGCCCTGTCCTACCTATGACATGACAGCCTTACCTATCTGCTTTTGATGTGGAGGAGTAGCAGCTCTACTCTGAACCCCTCCCGAATGACTGAACCCATCCATCCACCTTTTCGAGGCAGAGCCCATCCACCTTTTACAAATCAGGCCTAGATTAATAGATTTACTGCATTTCCCAAAAACCATGAGCAGTCTGGTGGCAAAGTTGGCGGTCTACAGTAGTCCTTTTTAGCAAATGGCTGTGTTAGCCTTGCTCCATCTTAATAATTACACCAGCAGCAGAAAACAAAATACACTGTCCTGTCCAGCAGCTTCACGCTGAAACTTTACCGTGTCTTGCCAACATGGGTACAGACACAAACTGTGACTTCTCGTGACGAAAAGTCTGAACTCACTCACTGAAAATACTTGAAAACAAGCTAACTTCTCCACCTGCTCTGTGTCATCGCACACTGTCTCTTTGCGCTCTTTTTACTTTTCCTCTTCTCTCCCACCTTGTGCTACCTTCACCCATCATATGCAGGAAATTACATTTTTCACAAGCAGTTCACAATAACTGAAAGAACCTTTTTTTTTTTTAAACAATGTAAATATGTTTTTAGTCATTTTACATAAACTTTGACTTTTAACAAAATGCATTTACTCAATTTCCTTTTCTTTGTAATCTTACTTTACTTTCTTACTCCACTTTACTATCTATCTATAAATCTAAAATTAGTAAAACATAACTGAAGTTTTAGATTATAAATACAGTATGAGGGAGATGGATGATAGATATTAATAGATGGATCTCTTTGAAATCTTCATCCAGAAGAGTACAGTATGTTTATGCTTGGATACATTAATAGCTTTGCATTATTCACAGTTCAGATGATCTTCATTTGTCTAATGGTGTACCTCAGTGACCCCTCTGAGTTTATCAAATATCTGAAACAAAGAGTTTCTAGATGTCTTCCTCCCTTTCAGTTAACTTTATTCTGATTTGCTGGCCCTCGTAAGTAGAACGTTAAAGCACGGACTGTCTTTTTCATATAGCATAAGCAACATCACTGCTTCTATGACAAATTGAATGGGGACCAGGTCACCCAAAGAGTTAAATCTGTCCTGGTTACATGTCTCTATTCAATCTAAGTGGCTCTGTAGGTCAGTGAAGCATCACTGCTGCCATACAAGGAGCTTTACTCATCCAAAGGTTAAAACTGACTTTTGTAAATAGTGGTTTTATTTACTATACACTTCAGGTCAGGCCTGCAGTTCCGTAATGGCAATAATTCCTCTTAGAGGACTATAATCAAGAGGAAAGCTGAGGCTTCTAGAATTAGACTGGGTTTTTTCCCCCCATCCAGCAGACTTTCACTTCGACTGCCAGTTTATTGATTCCTGCAAGGAGACTCAACCTTCAAGACTACAGCCATGCTATATAGAACATATTCACACTGTAAAGAGTGCTTAGTTTAATGCATTTATTTGAAAATGGCAATAATGGTATTGCATTTGTTTAGAACTGTCAGCATTTTCCCATAAATAAAAGGCAATTAATTATTTTATTCTCTAAATACTCTAATATTCTATATTCTCTAATATTCACGTAAAGATTATTTTGGTAGTCAGTCTGTGGCTAATCTGTCAGTTAATTTTTATTAGTCAACGATTATTTATTCACTCCTTTAATCTTTGCTTCCTGTAGGCATACCTCTTGTTCCAGGCTACAGTGCATATTTGCTTTACCTGTTCAAGTTGCCCAGCTATAAATGTCACCCTGCTGTCTCTTCTCCAGCCAATTAAAATAATGACCCATGAAACATATGAATTTGAAGTCAGTGTTTTCAACCAATAACTGTAGAAAACATGGACGACCTAACAGCTTGTCCCCTGGTGTCTGGCTCCAGTATTGGTCATAAACCCCGGCTCCTCCATGTTATCAGATTTTTCACAAAGATGCTTTATGCCATTATTAGCAATTCTCATTGTTCAAGGGGTCTCCTTTCTCACAGGTTGGATTCTAGTTAATAACTTAATGCTGTTATTGGGGTCAACGTCATCATGACAGCTTTGACTGGCAACTGTTGTTACAGAGAAACTTGCCTATATCTAATCTGGAATGGCTGATAGAGCCAGGACGCGGAGAGGAGGGCCAGGATTTACTTTCCAAAACCACGACTGTTTCAAACTGACAGCATGAGGTGTTCTGCAGTAAACTGGATTAACCGACAGAAGGACCAGAGGCCTAACTGCACTTTTTCGGTAAGTTGAATGTGTGTTTGTAAGATAATCAGAAATTAACATCCTGAGATAGCTAGCTTAGTTGAGCAGTCATCTGTTGGGGAAAGCCGTGTTTGGTAGCTAATCCGTGCATGTGAATGAATATACCTTGACTAAACAAGTCACTCTGAGCTTGAATGTACATTAAAGTCAGTGCTGTACAGTCAGAGCTCTGCTGCTGTACTCAATGGAAAGATGTTCAGACCTGCAGCTGAAGATCAGGCACTAAAACTGTTTATAAGAGCAATGGAAAAATGCCACTCTAGCTGCTCAGTCACTAACTAACATGACAGTTACTGTACTTTTTATGAGTATTATTCTGTAAGAGCAACAAGTTAGACTCTCCTTCAGTTCTTTTGGAGAGCTGATTATAAAATATATGCAAATGGCAGCATTTTTGTGTCTCCCTGACATCTGTAATGACAGTAACACCAAATTAATAAAAGAAAATGCACTTTAAACCCTCATTGATGGATTTCATTCAGTTTTAACAGAAGAAGAATTACTGAAGATCGAAAATGTTCTCACAATACAGCCTGTAAAATCAGTCCCAGTTTCTGATTTCCGTTTGTGTCTTACACAGCTGATGTTCACAAACTAAAAGAAACAGGATTATAATAGGAAAGCAGGGGTATCTATACACAGCCTTGTACCTGGGGGCTTGCTTGTTGTGTTAGAGACTCCATGATAGTTCCTCCTCTTGCTCCCATTTCTTAGGTTTCTGTTGCCTGAGGTATTCACTGAGCACATTGGTGGTGGCCATCTTTCTGGTGTAGTTGTGGATATTCGTTGTCTCGTCCTGGACTGTGGTACTGACACTCACTAGTCCCCGGCCTCCTTCCTTCTTAGGCATACCTTCCTTCTATTTAGGCGTACAGTCACAGGGTGCTAGATTTGGGGTGAAACCCTACATGCATGGTAAGGAGCTTCCATGTCTTGATGACAGTGGCTTCTATGTCTGCATTGCTATTGCTGCATTCCATAGTCTACCAGAGGCCTGGGAGCTTGAGGGTCCTGCGGAGTATCTTTGCCGTTTCTAGGACTTCGCTCTTCTGGACAGAGATATTGGATGCTGTTCCTGGGATCTGCTGGAGCCACTCGCCTAAT